TGGCAGGCGCCTACATCGATACCTATACTTCCAAGCGCTCGAGACGCTGACAGACGATGTTAGGCGCTGGCAGACATAAGATCGATATCTATACTTTCCTACGGACGCTCGGAAAGCCACTGGTCGCTGGTGGACGCAAAGTATGATGCAGCCGACTAGCGGAGAAGGGATCCTATTTTGCTTGCTGATTTGTTGAAGAGTATATGTTCCGGTGGGAAGCGGGGAAGATGCGAGGAAAATTCAGGGAGACTGGACACCTCTTATCCTCTCTCTGAATGACGATCCGATCTTTTTTTCAACTGCAGTGGAAAAGGAAGCAGGTGGGCAAATTTGGAACTTTCGGATAAGTCGCTATTGAGACGGTGGACGACAAATATTGCGCGTCGCCCGCCCGACGTCCCCTGCCTGCAATGCCTCTAGCTATTAGGTTGTCCGGAAAGTTCTTAGCGTTTTGTGCACCTAATCTTTGTACATTCACTGCTGATTAAAAACTCATTCTGCCTTGCTTCTCAGTAGCACATCCTGTAGAGAATTTCTTGCGCTATCTGATGGTATAATTGCCGTTTCACCATTGCTTGATAAACCCTCTTTTTTCAAGATTTTTTCAAGCATGTGAAAAGAGCACTTCGGACGATTTTTTTCTTCGGCTATAAATTGGGGCAATCCGCAATCGAAACAGCTCAACAAATTAACCAGGTGTGGGGGCCCAATAGTGCTAAAGAAAGCACTGTGCGGCAATGGCTCAATAAATTTCGCTCTGGAGATTTCAGCCTTGAAGGTGAGCCTCATAGCGGTCGACCTAAAGCAATATCTGACGAGGATTTTAGGGGGATTTTGAAGGTTGACCCATCCCAAACAGTTCGAGAGATAGCAGAAGAGCTAGGCCTTGGCAAATCCACTGTTGCAGATGGTCTGGAACGCATTGGGAAGGTGAAAAAACTCGACAATTGGGTGCCCCACAATCGGAGTGACCGGCAGGAATCGGCACGTCTCGAGGTTCCTTCTTCACTGCTTTTGCGCAAAAGAATTGACCCGTTTTTGAACGGATTTGTCACCTGTGATGAAAAATGGATCATGTATGATAACAGGAGACGTTCCGGACAGTGGTTGGATTTGGAGGAACCACCGAGGTAATTTTCAAAGCCGAACCCTCGCGAAAAAAATTCTGGTCAGGTTTGGTGGTCATCGGCTGTTGTAATCCACTATAACTTTTCATCACCAGGCCAAACCATCACAGCAGAACCCTACTGTGAACAAACCGACCAAATGTACCGAAAATATTGTCAGCTGCAGCCAACACTTATCAAAAGAAAGGGTCCGATTCTTTTGCATGACAACGCCCGCCCACACGTTTCACAAATCACTATCCATAAATTGAACGAATTGGGAGTTGAAGTTCTACCTCACCCACCATATTCTCTAGACCTTTCACCAACCGACTGTCACCTTTTCAGACATTTCAGAACTTTCCTGCTGAGAAATACTTCATCAAACAGGACCAGGCAAAAAAGACCTTCGCAGATTTCGTGGATTCTCGACCACCCAGTTTTTCCTTTGATGGGATTTCTCGACTGCTGCCACATTGGCAAAAGTGTGCTGATTCGAATGGTGCTTATTTGGATTAAATCCGATGAGTGTTAAGAAAGTTATGATCGTTTAAAGTTAAACACCCAAAACGCTAAGAACTTTCCGGACAACCTAATATTTCGAACCTTGGTAACGGCATCGATGTATCTCACTTGCATAAAGTTAGATCCTTGCATAGGAGAGTTCTCTGTCACTTCCACCTGTCCTTCACAGCCTCAAATCCCTAGGAGGACTAGGAGGACGAAAACACCTGAACTAAATATAACTGTCGTATATTCTTCAGACTCCATGTCCACAGGCCATATGTACAGCTTGTGAAATTTCACTACAACTCCGATTAAATACCCCGTGATTGACGATATTGGCGTAGAAGCCAGTTAGAGCGGACAGCTGCGTCTCTTGCAGATGTGACGATCCAGCTGTTACAAATCTCGGACTCCCGCCTGGGCATCCACCTTCAATCCCTCCTAGGTCCGGTGGAAGGATAAGATTCTTGAATCGTGAATTTCCTCCTCTCTGGCTGGCTCGTGCAAGTCGTTGAGTGGGCTGAACCGATTCCAGGTCACATTACGAGTCCAACCAAATGAAATCAAACAGAGGAAGTGGAATGTGTACCGGATCTCAGAAGAGTTTTGCCATGGCGGAACCTTCTCGCCCCTCCCCTTCAAATTTCTTTCTATAAGAAGACTCCATATCTTCCCCTCCAAATAAGAAAATAGGAATGGGAGTATAATTGAAACTTGTTCTAATAATGTTAAAAAAAACTTAGTTCAGTACCGTAGGAGTCCACCGCCGAAGAGTAGGCAAAGAACGAGGACGAACAGGGAAAGCGTTGCACATATGAGACTTCCACGGATGTAGAGCATTGCCGTCATTGTTATAAAGTGCGCACTAAGAAATACGCATAAAAACACAATAGCTGTTCGTAGAATTGTCGTTGGCCATGCGATATTTGACATGCTGAAAAGTGAGAGTCAATAGATTTCTACCAACATTCAAAAAAAATGTTTAACATCGGGGAGAGGTACTGACTCTCAGAACGCGTACCGTAGGGCGTCTGAGGAAGGTTAAGTGACACGCGCGGCACTTCAGTGATCTCACAGCTTGCCTTTCTTCGCCATGAGATTAGTTGCGGACATGTCAAAGGGGAGGGAGAATGCTGTTTGGCCAGACGCCGTCCGGGTGCCTTTTTTCCCCACGTAAGCTAGGAAACTATTTCATATCGTTCGTATCAGTCGTTTGTCCCCACTTTGTCGCTTACCTGCCCCACCAACTGGCGAAGAAAGGGACTGGCTGCGCGCACATACAGTCGTCATCCTTGCACTTGATAGGGGCGTGTCGGCGAGAAGGAGCGTGCACACTGTTTGAAGCCTTCTCAGCCTTTTCGTTGAAACGCGTATGCGACAAAAAGTGATAGAAAACGAGTAACACGAAGGATATAATACAGTAATGTCACTCTCTGGTTCAACGATTGGTGCAGTACGGGTGCTGACGACCGCGCCGCACGCAGCCGCACTGACATTGACTATCAAGTGCAAGGATGACGACTGTACTAGCCTCACTGACACGACGCTCCATCGCAAACAATACAACGAGACTGCCTGGGGCAGCTTTCAGACTTTTGCGATGAAGGCGCCGTTGCACGCCGCTACAACAAAAAATCAATCAAAGACAAAAAACAACCAAAGGGATAAAAAAAAACAAAAATTGCAACAAAGCTGTAGATGCGAACCAGCCGCAGACGTCCAGTGCCGATCTAGACTAGTCTGCGGGACAATGCAACACCTACCCTCCTGTTCCCCCATACTCTATGACAACAAGCAGCCGGAGCCCATCGATTCCCATCTACATCGTGCGTTCGCGTCTTCCACAGCCGTTTGCAGCGTGTTGCAATTGCGCGCGTATTCGCGCCTTACAATGCGCGACAGCGCATCGACACGCGTCATCGCGAAGTCTGAACGCTGCCCAATTCGGGGGCGCTTGCGAAACCACTGCGCTGCCACAACGTGGTTTATTACAACTATACCCGTATAGTGCTGTTTTTCTGGTACGGTGGTATCAATAAGCGGAATCCAGTGGGTATTCTTTCCTCTAGTTTAGATCACATGAAATGATTTTGTATTCTGATCGCAGGACAGTTACAGATAAACTGGCTGCGATTAAGCAAAAAAGAGCACTAGATGCTAAAATTGTTGTTGCCCCTTGTCCGGCCGCCTGATTATTTTATGGCGTGCGTGTTGACTGCTGTCCTCCTTGGTGTAACCTCGGCATAATGCCCAATAACTCGATTACTGCCCGTGTCAAACGATGTTGTTGAGATGAAATCTTCTGATTGTCAACCCACGTGACGTTACGACCTTCTCTTCTTCTGATTTTCGGGCCTTTTGGTGAAAACGAGAAGTCGTAACGTCAGTACGAGAAAATGTTCCGTGACAAGCTCTTCTGCTAGAAGTAACAAAAATCTGTCCTAAATTTGTTTCGATCGGCAGAATGGAGACAGTAAGTAGCTGCCAGAGGCGCGTGTTGTGAGATTTGAAATTTCATGACCCTTGAGGGTTTACACTCATTACTGCTCATTGAATATCCCCTCCTTTCCCCTGTGCCTTGAACATTGTCCAACATTTCGGTAGCATCGATGGTAGTGAACAGTGAGGACTCACCATAAAAGAATAGCGGCCGACAGGAACGAAGACATGGCGTCGATACCCATTACCATGAAAACATATGCCATGAAAGACAGCGTTTTATTATAGAGACCGCTGTGATTTTCGACAACACTGAGAGTTAGCAAGCCTTCATCTGAAGAAAATGGATGAAATCAAACAGGCAATCAATAAAGAGCATTGTAAATTAATGCGCAGTCAACTCACAGCAGATGAGAGCTAGAAAGGAACTCGTACCATAAACGACAAGGAGGGAAATCTCAAGAATTCTAGATGATTCATAAGGAGAGATCCATGAGCCCGTCAGAAGATTTGTGCTGAAACATTCGGTTTTCATGCCTTCTGGATGATTCATGAGGATAGTTCCTATGAACACGTTAGAAGACTTGTGCTGAAACATACTACTATTAGGTCATCCCATTCAAAAGTGCCGTCGGTTTTTTTTCGAATAAAGCAAAGAGGAGAATAGATAAAAAAGTAATATCCGGCTCTAACTAGGGAGGTCGTTCAGGACGTGGAGCGCTTTTTGAAAACGGTTTTTTGCATGATGTGGGGTCACGTGCATGGAGTACCAAACTGGTGTTCATTTTTCCTGAACGCCTCTGGGAATGCCAAAAATGGAGTGAAAAAGAAGTCCATGGAAACCGACTGTTTTTGAGCCTGAATGGGCTCTAAATCACTCGCAACTTCGGCCAGATGCTGCCTATAGGGGTGCCCTGATCACGACTATGGCATTTACTTTCAGCTCCAGTGCCATTTATCCCCAACTTGGAGCCACGTCTTTCTCCCACTGGAGTCGCTATGTACATTCGTTTGAGGGACTTGCAGGGCCATTCTGCGCCAGATTGGAGTTGACGTCAAGAATAAGTGTCAGAATCGTGATCAGGACCATCGATTACCCCTATAGGCAAACTTTCGGCCAAAAAAATTTTTTTGACTTTTTTGAGTTGTGATAGACCGACCATTTGGTCGACAGTGATGACCGGAGACCCACAACTTTGGAGCTGCGATGACGTAGCGATGACGTGGTGGGCCGCCGGGCAGCCGTATCGCGGAATTGGTGCTCATAAGGTCCATTCATACTTGGCATGGGCATGGGTGGCCGCAGAACAAGTGAAAAACCATCCTGGACATGTCGACCCCCGCGACGGCTCTCGTCCTCCCCTACCAAGAGGAGAGACTCATTAGATTTCCTTCACTTTTTTTCAAATGCCCACCTGGAGGAATGACGGACTATTCTTGCTTCTTTTTTCGATGGCGTTTATGGTTGTTGCTAGTTTTTTGTTCTCCGTACCACTGAATGAGGGTTTCGATAACCAGCAAAAGTACGACTTCAACAAAGTGACTCTTGAGCATAACCCAATGCACAGACTCAAAAAAGTCAAAAAAATTTTTTGGCTGAAAGTTTGCCTATAGGGGTAATCGATGGTCCTGATCACGATTCTGACACTTATTCTTGACGTCAACCCAATCTGGCGTCAGAATGGCCCTGCAAGTCAACGAATGTACATAGCGACTCCAGTGGGAGAAAGACGTGCTCCAAATTGGAGATAAATGGCACTGGAGCTGAAAGTAAATGCCATAGTCGTGATCAGGCGCCCACCGAATAACATATAAAGCTCAACTTTCAGACAAGTTCTTGTTTAATGTTATGTGAAATCGAAATGAAATGTGAAATTGCTGAATAGCACCGACTACGGGGTATAACTATTTAGGATGTGCCTATAAATGGCAGATATCCGAGTAAAATTCATTAACAGACGTATATGGAAGCGACAACAACGGAAAATAAAAAATGCAAAAACGTGCAAGCCGAGGGGAGTCGAACCATCATCCCCATCCCCACCGTCTGCTTGAGAATCCTCCACGCTATCCACTAGGCCATCCGATCGTTGGAGCACTCCCCACTTTCGATTGCTTAAGAGCCCATTCCAACTAGCCGTCGACTCTTAACTACGTGCCACAAGTAAGACCCCATTGGCGACTACTTTTCTCATCGATACCAGTACAACCTTTATAAGGACCCTATAGGCAGCAACTGGCCGAAGTTGCGAGTGATTTAGAGCCCATTCAGGCTCAAAAACAGTCGGTTTCCATGGACTTCTTTTTCACTCCATTTTTGGCATTCCCAGAGGCGTTCAGGAAAAATGAACACCAGTTTGGTACTCCATGCACGTGACCCCACATCATGCAAAAAACCGTTTTCAAAAAGCGCTCCACGTCCTGAACGACCTCCCTAGTAAGGTAAGCAACTCCTCCTTCACAATGACCCGCTCCAGTGCGCCCGAAAGCGTTGGACCTCTGTACCTTCACTTCTTATCAACAAGTGCGAGTTAAACTAAGGTTGGTGCCCAACTTTCGACGAATTGACAAAAACATTGTAGCGTTGCCGTCGGAGAGTACTCTCGACTGACGAGAACAACTGGAATCGTTCTGCTTCATGTTAGGCGAATGGGGTGATTGACCCAGGTCCCAGTATTACTTGTGTCCCAGCACTGCTCTACAATACAGTTACTCTGGGTCTGGCACTATGATGAGCAACTTTAGCCTTCTTACAGTTGTGTGGTATCATTTTGTCGATCTGATTGCCAAGGATCAGGCAGTATACACCGACAGCTACGATTTTATTCTCTGCATAGAGCCCCCTAAAAGCCACAGTGTAGGAATCCTTCGTTATGATGATCATCCACTTGCGCCCACACGTAAACCCATCATGGTAGAACTCGCGGCCGAACTTCTCATCTGCATTCATACAAAGTGAAGACGTGAGTTTTGGCTCGAGACGGTCCAAGGCCACCCAATTTCAGCTGGGGCCGCGGGGGCTTCACAGTCGCTGAATGACATAGTCATGCTGCAGAACATCTACTTGCTGGATCGGTACTGCGTTCGTGCTTCTACAAGAAAATTAGGTACCCATGCGCACACCCTCTTGACCATCCTCAGTTTATCGGACATAACTCGGGCAGCAGTTGCAGCGGGGATGTCAGACTCGCGGGAAGCTCGACAAAGGTCCAGGCTCTGGGATCAGACATTCAGCGCTTGACTTCATCCACCCTTTTTCTTGTACAGGATGAACATTATGGGACCATCCACGACAACAATTTTTTTTTCTTCCTTCTTCGGGCTCCTGAACCAAACCTTCCACCTTGTATTTCGAGAACACCATTACACACAACTACTGGTCCGGCGCCGGTCGAATTTGAGCAGCGCACTTCCTCCTATGACGTCTGATTTGAAAATCGGGCGCTGATTTTCACCACTCGGGCTTCTTTTCAATTTCTCGAGAACTTCTTCTGTGGGTAGGTTCGCCAAATTTCACAGATACACAGCTGAAGGTACTAGCCTCCAAATGGTGTAGTAGCCCGCTTCCCTATCCCCTTTGCTTTTCTGCCAATCCTCTATATATCACGGCACTTTTGAATGGGATGACCTAATATATGCAAACGCCTACGTCTGCCCGTCTGTGCGCGTGTGCCTGTGAAAACTGGGCATCACCTGCAGGAGCCAGTTTGAGGGCGTGGTCAAGCAGTCAACAGCTCGAATGCGCACAGCCATGACATTACCGAACACACATGCAACTGAGCCGCCCTTGTGGGCGGAGGTGTGCCGCTCTGCAGAAACACTTAATTGCGACATATAAAATTCGTAAAACTTTTCCATATAAGCCGCGAGAGTGCGGAAAAGATGATCACGGAAAAATGCCGGTACGCTGCCACGAAATAAGGGAGCATATGCCCATAGCGGAGCGCGGGCGTACCATGAATGGGCGGCGCTCGCTATGAAAACTTCAAAAATTTGTGACTCGGTTCCACATAAGCCCGCATAGCGGAAAAAAGGCAAGCGGAGAAGAGGCAGGCGGCCGAAAAATGAGGAAGGCACGCATTCTTCAAACGATGCCGTACTATAAATACGCTACAAAAACTTGAAGAGTACGGGACTTAGTTCCAGGTGACATGTATCTCGAATTCTTTGTCCCAATTTATTTGAATTCGGCTTGCTTTGAATGGCTTCTGGTAGGATAACCCCAGTGTCGAGAACTCTAGAGAGATCTCTCTTGCTAGACTCATCTCTTGCTAGACTCTATCCATCGTCTTTCCGTTTGCGCTCATGCGGGAGCCTCACCACTTTGTTAATCAGTAATCGATGATTATTCCTACCAATCACGTTGCACACTTACGGAGAGTAGCTGAAAGTACCTGAATAGTGCCGTAAAAAGCATCAAAGTTGGAAGTGCCGCAATCCTGAGAAGAATGGAGTATTGGCATGAAGTCATGGCCACAAATGAACGCCTGAAACCATCTTGCATCAAAGGTGCTCTTCTATACGTCAATTTCTCCTTTTGACCGTTGGATCTCAGGAGAGTATACTTGTTATCCATGCACACGAGCAGGGCACGTGAGTCTGGGGGGGGGAAGGGGGGGAAGGTTTGTTTTGGCGTTTGCTGTGCAGCACATTCGGCCTTTTGCACCAAACAACGCATCTGAGCTTGCAACAGTAGCTGGAAGAGGCTGCCCTGACCGTGCTAAAATCCACTCCCCTTCACACGCTTTCTCTCATTGCAGGGATCACGACTGCACCTCCACTCACCTCATTAAGACCAGAAATTTAGTAGAACTCGGTGCTCTCTGCAGGAAGCATAACGCCACATTGCCTCTGCTTTCAACATCATTCTGCCGGAATCTTGAGGGAACCAAAGGAGGTGAATCGGTCTGTAAAGGAGATAATGTTCCTTTGTAAAAAAAAGGGGAGTCAGAGATGCGACGCCTCCACTGGAAGCAACTTTTTTGCATGAGATTCGGACATCTGCAGCTGCAGCACAGTCGGGACTCACCTGAAAGATCAATCAAACGAAGAGCGCCTGAGCAACTGTCGCGATCGTGATCAGTTGTGTTGCGTTTGCTTCGCTGTGCGCCAGAGAAGAACTGTAAAACTTGACAATTTGAAGAGCGGTGAAATCTCGCCTAAATAGGCTTTATTGGAATTACCACTTCTCTTACACTTCTACTTCTCTATTACTTATTGAGGAAGCTTACTGAAGTAGCAAATAAAGCCAAAATTGTACAGATAATAATGAGTTAGTCATATACTTACAATAGTAAAGATGGAAACTCACGATAGTACATAGTAGGATTCTCGTTTTCTGGACAAGGAACGCCAAGGTCGCGGAAATAAGTGGTCAAATTTTTTACACGTCCTGAAAATCCCCGTTTTAGCAACAATGTCAGCCAAATTCAACTACTCCGGAAGTATCAAAGCAACAGTCCACAATGGCCTGCAGCACAGAAGTTATGCAATTTCTGGTTCTTGAAGGCGCCCCACAAGTACAGCAGGGACTTGTAAATAGATAATATTCAG